GTATGTGGCCCTTTGGCCGCACGTTGGACAAGCCTGATCTAACCTAACCTCTGCTTCCTTCTACTGATCTCCCCTCAACTCCTGAAGTCTCATTTGTGGTACCTCAAGACTAACAGTTATATTAACTTGCATCATGAGACCTTCTTTCTTTACAATGAAACAAAGTTGTGTCAGGTTTCTATTAACTGCTTGTATTATGGTGCAAACAGGCTGCTATTTTCACTGATATATAAAATCAATCACGCCTTTCACTCTGGAAAGCTCCCCTAGGAAATGTCTGAAAATTGGAAGACGAACAACACTGGGCTTTTTTTTCCTCACCCTTTCTAAGGAAACAAAGGTATAACTGCTGTGGAAACAAGAGTAACAGAGTGATTTTGTTCTGATCATTTTATGCAGAAATGTGCAGATATGTGTGTGTTTTGGACTGCAACTCCAAGCATTCTCCAGGAAGATTCTGGAAGATGCCATCCAGAATCACAAGTCTGTACACCTTTAGTTTTAATCACTTGTCCTCTTATTGCACACCAGTAAGACAAAACATTAGATGGCCATAAGCTAAGACATACTGTAAGTAGGCCCCAACTGTGTACTATTAACATGAACAGGGCATTGCTCAGAAAAGAAGACTAAAGAGAAATTATTGGACTTTTTTTATGAGAGGTGACAATGGGTTCCATCAGGAGCTATAATTCAAGTAATTATTTAGGAGAGTTCAATATCAAATGGATTTGTCAGAAGAATATGCTGAAGATGCCAAGAACTGCCGGTTACATCTAGTGGATGAAGACTGGGGAGACTCTGATTCATTTCGCCACTCAGTACATGAAATTCAGTTTGTGACTTGGGGCCACTTGCATGCCCAAGCCATTTCATGGGGCAATTCTGTGGATTAAATAGTGCTGTGTGTATTAAATGGAAAAAGTGTATGGTGATGTAAGCTCACAGGAAAAGAGGTGGAATAAAATTGTGACAGATAAATTAATATAGGCTTGTGAAATCACATCCTGTGCAGATCAAAGAGGTGGTCTGCTACACATTGAGCTTCTCCATGGGGTAAGGGAAGCTCTTATCAGGAGACTCCATGGGTAGTAGAAGCTTTCCTCTTCAGACAGCCTCTCCCCCTAGAAAGACAGTGACAGAAAGAGGGTTGGGGCTAAAATTTTCACTCTGTTCATGGTTTCAAATTAACTGTTTTTAAAATTCCTGAATTGGAATTTTAGAGCATGAAAACCAGACTCTTGTTGCAGATGGGGATTTGGGAGAAAGTACCATCTGCTCTTGCACATAAACATATTTCAGCAGGAAGTGCTACTGTATTCAACAGATTTACTTCTGTGTATTTCACTAGATCAAAGACAGTGAATAATGTTCAGTGTATTTGTTTGATAGGACTACTCCAAGATTTCTGCTTTATTTGGAAAAACTCATCTGTTCGAAAATAAAAAAAATTACAGACTCGTAGTCTTATGAGACAGGAAACGAGAAGAGAATATGTTCATGATCTCCCTGTAGCTCCCTGTCCTTCTGCAGCCTGATGCTGCCATGATGCCTGCATTATCTGAATCTCAATCTGGAGATTAAAAGATGCTGTTTTGTTGTCACAGCCAAAGGAGACAGAGAGGGGAAATCAATCACCAAGGCCTCTCCCTGCCGAGCGAGTAGGGCTATTCATTGAGATGCAGGTAACGCTCTGATCATAAGGGCTGCAGTGCTGTGAAGACAAACAGCACCCACCTTGCATACCAAGTGGAATTACATTTAACTGATTCATTTTATTGCAAAATATATAAACATTATTCTGGGCCAGTATATTACAAGACATCTTGGAGAAAATGTGCCTGCAGAAACATAGATCTCAGCTAATTATATTACATCCCCTTCACGGATTGCTCCCTTATCATGGCGAAGGGGCTTCAGTAATTCAGAGAAGCTATGGGCTATGCCATGCAGGGACACCCAAGATGGATAGGTCATAGTGGAGAGTTCTGACTAAACACCTGGAGCAGGAACTGGCAAGCCACTCCAGTATCTTTGCCATGAAAACCTCATGGACAGAAACAAAAGGTTAAAAGATATGATGCTGGAAGATCAGCCCCTCAGGTCGGAAGGCGTCCAACATGCTACTGAGGAAGAGTGGAGGACAAGTACAAGTAGCTCCAGAGCTAATGAAAAGGTTCGGCCAAAGCCGAAAGGATGCTCACCTGCGGATGCGCCTAGACGTGAAAGGAAAGTCCGATGCTGCAAAGAAAAATCCTGCATAGGAACATGGAATGTAAGATCTACGAACCTTGGTAAGCTGGATGTGGTCAAACAGGAGATGATAAGAATAAACATTGACATCCTGGGTATCAGTGAACTGAAATGGACGGAAATGGGAAAATTCAATTCAGATTTTTATCATATTATTGTGGGCAAGAATCCCGTAGAAGAAATGGAGTAGCCCTTAGAGTAAACAAAAGAATGGGAAAAGCTGTACTGGGATATAATCTAACAATGATAGAATGATTTCAATACGAATCCAAGGCAGAACTTTCAACATCACAGTAATCCAAGTTTCTGCACCAACCACCGATGCTGAAGAGACTGAAATTGAGCAATTCTGTGAAGACTTACAACATCTTCTAGAAATGA